CGAAGGCGGCGCGTGCAGAGCCCGGCCGTGCGGGCAGGCACTGACCGCTGCTGCTCTCTCGCTCTTCCAGTTAGCGCCGAGCTGAGTCAGGGCTGTGCCAGAGGCTGCGACCTGTGCTCCGAGTTCAACGGGTGCCTGAGATGTTCCCCCAAACTCTTCATCCTTCTGGAGAGGAATGATATCCGGCAAATTGGGATTTGCCTACCATCTTGTCCACTGGGATACTTCGGCCTTCGCAATACAGACATGAACAAGTGCATCAGTGAGTACGGAGACGGGAGGGAGCAGGCGAAACGCGGGAGGGTGGCGGGGCTTCGCAGTGCTTTGTGGTGCTTTGCAGGGGGTCGTGGTGCCTCTGGTCAGATGAGAGGTGATGCTGTGGCTGCACCGAAGGGGAGAAGGCAGCGCTGAGCAGGGCAGCGATCTGTCCTGGGAATAACCCCACAATTTACGCTGAGGATGGCTAACGCACCTCGGGTGCCCGGGCGCTTCCCTGCTGCGGCACTGTGCAGCCAGCGCAGTGTGCAGCCGGGCTGAGGTGCCCCTTCCCTCTGAGCAGCGGCTAGATGCTGCCCGAACAGAGCCCTCAGAAGGCGGCCGAGTACCCACTGCCCCCACATCAGCCTTTCCATGCAGGTTTTGGCTGAGTTTCGGCCTTCCTGGTCTTTGAGAGCTTCTTTGGGCCTCTCCATGCTGCGGGCAGGTGGTGGTAACAGAGCAGTGGTCCATTAGAGCAGAGGGCTACCATGAAGCCTTCAAGGCTGCGTGACCCATTGCAGCATGCTCTGCACCACAGAGGTACGGTGCGGACGTGGCATCCTGCAGGATGCTTGGGAAGTTCTGTTGCCTGGGCTGCCTGACTGGCACCCTTTTGCTTTGAGGGAAGGAGGAGGAAGATCCTTTCAGTTTTTAAGGTACTGCTCGCACAAGCACCTTTTCTCCTCCCCTCTGCCCCCCACCCCATCCATTTACGGGTATCACACTCCATTTCTCTGCAGCCCATACTGTAGTTGCAGTTGGAGCCGTTGATACAGGACTTTATTCTTTGCACTGTCCCACTCTGGCTGACTGATGCTCAAGCTGAACACCAGCCCAAACCTTTTCTACCCTGCCTGATTTCGATCTGGCCACAGCTGCTGCTGGCTATGAGAGCTGCAGGACAGTGGCTCTGTCCTGTACCAGGGAGGGGTGCAAAGAAAACTGACATCTGAGTGGCACTGCCAGGCCTGGCAGGACATCCAGAGGCTCGCCCCAGCTGTTGGCAGAGCCCTTGGAGCCAGGAGCGAGCTCCAGTAAGCAGGCAAGAGCTTCCTGAGTCTTTTGCTCACATCAGACTACATAATGGCTTTGTGGTTTTTTTCCCCAGAATGCAAAATTGAGAACTGTGAGTCCTGTTTCAGTCGAAACTTTTGCACAAAATGTAAGGAAGGTTTGTATTTGCACAAAGGGAGATGTTACGTCACATGCCCCGAAGGCTACTCTGCTGCCAACGGCACCATGGAGTGCAGCAGTCCTGGTAAGCCGTGCTTGGGCACCTTTCACTGAGCTTTTTGTGCGTCTGTCGGGTCCAGTCGCATGTATCGCTACAGTCTGGTTTAGACGATAAAACGAAGCCCTCAGAGACGATGGCTCATGGCACCCGTGTCGAGCGGGCGACGGCAGAGGCCAGGCACAGCCCTTGAGAGGGCAGAGCCCTCTGGACACCAGCCCAGATGGGGAGCAGCACCCTGCGCTGCTGCCGCGTGCTTGTGAAGTGTGACTCGGAGTCCGGGCGGTGTGGCAAGGAAGGGGGTGCCTTGAGAACTTAGGAAGCTGCTTGGGAAACACACATACCCATCAAGGCTAAAGCGGGGGAGAGGTGCGATGGTGCACGAGGGCTCCAGGAAGTCCTGAGGCAGCAACGGAGAAACAAGAGTTACTGCTGGCCTCTCTTGTTATCTGGCAGCACAATGTGAAATGAGTGAGTGGGGGCCCTGGGGACCCTGCTCCAAGAAGAGGAAGCTCTGTGGCTTCAAGAAGGGCAATGAAGACCGAACGCGGCGGATTCTGCAGGCTCCCTCCGGAGACGTGTCCCTGTGTCCTGCCACCACGGAGGTGCGGAGATGCACCGTGCAGAAGAACCAGTGCCCTGAAGGTGAGCAGACGTGGAATATCGCGCCATCCCTCCCAGCACCCTTTATTTATCAGGCACAAGCACTCAGCCAACTGTTGTGCACGAGGGCTCCAGGAAGTCCTGAGGCAGCAACGGAGAAACAAGAGTTACTGCTGGCCTCTCTTGTTATCTGGCAGCACAATGTGAAATGAGTGAGTGGGGGCCCTGGGGACCCTGCTCCAAGAAGAGGAAGCTCTGTGGCTTCAAGAAGGGCAATGAAGACCGAACGCGGCGGATTCTGCAGGCTCCCTCCGGAGACGTGTCCCTGTGTCCTGCCACCACGGAGGTGCGGAGATGCACCGTGCAGAAGAACCAGTGCCCTGAAGGTGAGCAGACGTGGAATATCGCGCCATCCCTCCCAGCACCCTTTATTTATCAGGCACAAGCACTCAGCCAACTGTCCAGTATCCTAAGTGCACGGCACATCTCACTACCCCTCTGCGAGACAGGGAACACAACCTGACAGCACAACAAAGACCCCTGGGCGGGTGATCCTCAGCACAGCCTGCCACGTGTCCCATGCGCTTTCAGATATTTTAGTTTCTTCCCTGGCCAGACAGCAGCAAGGCAGCTGGGCTGCCGCAGGCGCACGCCTGTGCGCTGCGGTGCGGGGAGTCGTCTGCTCCTCTGCCAGAATGCTTAGGTCTGTGTTTCCCATGAATTAGAGTGCCTTCAGGATGAATGGTGGTTTGGTCATCCTCTGACGGGACACATGAGGATTGCAGCTGGGGTTGAGTGTTTTGGGGGAGACTGGTTCTGAGCAGGGACTCACACCGCGGGGGCTGGACGGCCGGGCGGGGGGAGGCAGACACGGCCGATCCGCTGCTCTGGTGCACGCAGCAGCCACTTAGCTAAGGGGTTTGCTGTGCCACCGCAATGACGCTTCTGCTGCAGAGCGACAATCACAAAGCTAAATCCAGGTCTGGTCCTTCTTCCCCGTTCGTGTGCAGGCAACAGCTCGCAATGCAGAGCACAGCTGGGCAGACAGGCACCCCTCTGCGTGGGGAGGGCGCAGGCCCCTTGGGCCACCCGGCAGCAGCAGGCCACCGGCCAGCTCGCTCTGCTGGAGAGCCTCACCGTGCCCCTTTGCTTTACTGCAGGGAGAAGGAAGAAGAAGGAAGAACAAGACAATGCAAACGGGAACAGAAATCAGAAGGACACCAAAGACGCTAAGTCCGGCACGAAGAAGAGGAAGAGCAAACAGAGAGGGGCCACGGTCCCCGCGACATCTGCTAGCCCTGCCCAGTAGCTGCCCTTTCATGTCACCCGATGGCAAGACTTCATTGCTGCTATGTATATGAAAGCTTTATCGAACCAGAGCACTGCTACACAACACGTACACGTGTCCAGAAGGACAGACATATACTCCCAGACTGACCCACCGACCCGACAGAAGCCACTTACACAATACTTAAGGAGGCTGCACACCCCCCCCACCCGGGATGCTGCTGAGAAGCCGCGTGGGAGTGCACACGGAGGGGAGCCCACCTCCCCAGGGCCCCACTGTGGGGAGGAGAGCTGGGCGATGGGTCAGCGACGGGCCCAGACGCGAGACTTCATGACCACAGGCCTCAACCTGAGACCAGGCGCGCGGCCCCAGCGCAGCAGGGCCACAGCGAGCAGGACGAGAACGGACCAGCACGGCCACTCTCCCTGACCCAGGACCTGGACTCAAACAAAGGCAGTGGCCTCTTTCTCTTCCCCCAACCCTTTATTTTATGTTTTAAGCTGTATGACTTTATCATTGCGAATACACGTTAAACGTTTGTGGTAAGAGGTCAGTGGTATCTGCCCTGAATCTGCTTCAAAGAGTTATTTCAAATTAAAAAACACACAAACAAAAAAATGACAACCAGCTTCCTCAGTGTGTGGTTCATGCCTTGGCCCCTATGGAGGCTGGTGTCCCACAGGACAGAGACTCACTTGTGGAAGGGAAACTCACCAAAGCTTTAAGAAAATCCCAGAAAATGCTGCCAGCTGCTCTGCAGCCACAAATCAGCCACCCTGCGCTCACAGGACCCAGCTGTGCTCCGTGGAGCCCCGGAGGAGTTTCCCACTGAAGGATCCCGTTAGCATGCAGCAGACTGAGAAAATGAGAGGTTACGACAAACCACAGGTTGCCGAAACACTGTGGCTCCGTTGGTACGGTCACAGCTGCGGGACTGCACCCCGAGCCAGGGCCACCGCCCCAGCGCGTGGCAGGAGGGCAGGCAGGCGGGAGGGGGAAAGCACAGCGCGGGCTCTGCAGAACGGAAGCAAACTGTTAAGCTTGATAGAAACTACTGGTCTGCACGCCACCGACTGGAATTCCCTGGATCCGGCGCGAGCACTCCTGCTCTGGAAGAGCTGACACCTGGGCAGAGGAACCGGGACGAGGTGCGGGACAGAGACTGAGCGAGACGCTGCCTTCTCTGCACGGAGAGCTTTACCCTCGGCGGTGTCACACGGTGGCATATCACTCGGTTTCCCTCATATTTCAAAATGTGCTTCCTCGGTATAAATATGTGCAGACATTCAGTTCCTCTGGAGCTCAGCAGCAGCCCTCCAGCCCCAGGGGACAGAGCCAGGGGAGGTGCGATGGCTCACCAGTGGCTCCCGCAGCACTGCGATGGGCAGGGCCAAGCTCACCCCAAAGCTACACCTGGCGAACGCAGCCTCTGCTGCCCTCGCTTCCGCACCCCTCGGCTGCTCTGCGGTGTGGGAGCGCTGAGCGAGCGCGCGGGGATGCCTGCGGGAGAGCACCCCGGTCGCTCCAACGGCCAGCTGCACGGTTGTTTCAGCTCCGAAGCTGTACCAAGCTCTCCGTGACGGCTCTGCTGGCAGCAAAACCTCTCAGCCCATCATCCACTTTGCGTTTAAGTAAACAAGAAGCCGTTATATCTTTTAAAGGGGATTCCATTTCAGCACAATGATAAACGACCAGCATACCAAGCGGAGAGAGAAAGAGGTTCTTAAAAGTCATCCTTTGAGTTGTTTATGGATCACGTTCAGACGATTCCTGAAAGCCTCCCAGCTGAAAGATCAGATCTCACTTTATTTTCCAGCCTTGGCTAGCCTGTGAGATAAGTATTTTGTTTGTGCCATGGCACTGCATGTAAGCAGAACCATTTTTCCCTTCCGCTTTTTAGCAGCAATAATCAGTAACCCTTTCATGAACCTCAGCTTGCTAATCCACAAACGACTCCTTCCTCCCTCCTGCTGCAGTATCTCAGTCCGGTTCTCAACAAGGATTAGAGAGAGGCGAGAGTGCATTAGTACAGTTTTCTACACGGAGGCTCTGTTAACCGACTGGATCCCCTACAGTAACTCATGGCAATATTAGCACAACTATTTCAAAACTAAACTGCATATAATAAATCAACACAACCTATTTCATAGAACTTTCTAGAGTTTTTTAGAAAAACTGACAAACTTCTTTCTGTTGTAGCCTTTTCCCATCTTTCTTCCCATTTCACAGCAAAATGGGAAGAAAAAGGGAGAAAGGCAAAGGAAAGTTTAAAATGCATATTAAGAAAATCCAAAATTTTTCAGTATGGGTGATTTTAAAATGAAATTGTTTTAGAAAAATTAGAAGGAAAATATAAAAACAAATCAAATTTATTTTCTCATTTTAGTCAGCTCGAGAGTCATGCTTATTCCCGCTCCCAGAGGGCTGGTTCATTTCTGAATTTAGAAGCATTTTGCCTTTCACCAACGTGGTTTGCACGCTGAGCTCAGCAGTCCAAGCCGGAGATTTCCTTAGACAGGTTGATGCCATCTCAACTCACACGCACATGAATGCTCTCTTTCAGCCCACCAAATGAAATCTGTTGTGGTGTTCTCTCCATGGCATCACTGTAAAATATGCTTCTTTAAACAAATAAATAAATAAATGGGTTTGCTGAACAAGCTTTGTTTGCTTCATTCACCAAAGCCAGAGTCAAATCCCAGCGGACCAAAAACATCTGGAAGGAGAGAGCCTCTCCTAGGTCACTGCTGCCCGCCACCCAGAAGCCAAGGTACCCGTAGGACCCCGGCACGGAAACGCGGCCGCTCCGGCGTCTGCGCGTACCCATGTTCTGTACTTCGATCAGCTCACTGCCGAACCGGAGAAAGGGTTGCTAGATGCGTAAGCAGACAGACAGATCCTTTGTCAGAAACCCCGCTGCACGGAAAACGTCTTTGTTTTTACTGCTGAACAAGCTGGTGTTTGTTCATCGGACAGAATTCTGCTCCACACGTGCAGTTTCCAGGCAGTTTACTTCACTTTTAGGTAATGCACTCCATGTAATGGGGAACAAAGGGCAAGGAATCACGTATTAACAGCTTACAATGGTGGGTTAGGAACTGTCTAATTTCTATCTCATTTGCTGAGATTTAGGAGCTAAAGCAGACAAATTTCACCAAACACGGGTTTGGTATTATGTTCTGAGCCTCTCTGTGTAGCAGAAATCTGGATTTTTCATCAGCTACAGTCAAGTTCAATGTGTGCACACATACTCCTCCAACAATAATTTACTGGCTCTCCACCCCACGGAGAAGGAGGCGATGTATATACTTTTTAGTTCATGTTTACGTTAAAATGATTTCTCACTCAGAACAAATCTTAGCTTTGATTACAGGAAATAGAGTAGGATAGTGAAATAGGTTATCCCTAACACTATTATTTGGATTACATTGTCTGAGAACATGAAAAGGGATATTTTATATATATTTACAGATTTTATTAAGTCAATAGTCTTCACAGAAAGAGATGTTAGGCATAACATTTAAAAAAACCTCTATTAAAGTTACAGAAATACCAGCTGTACATAACAGTCACCATGAATAAATGATGCCGATGGCATTTTCGTACATGCTAGTATATTATACCCAACTGGATGCCAAACCAGGGTTTAGATGGAGCCGCTTGCCAGAATCTCCATGGTTTTTGAAGAGCCGCAGGATCTTAGTGGAAAGAAAAGAGGCGACCAGGGAGATAACACAAAGCGCCTGGTTAGAACCTCGTCTGCCACTCACCCCAAAGCGGCCTGCAAAAGGCCACATCAGACCCTGCGACGCGCAGGGCTAAAAGCTTCAGCTTCCAGATCGCGAGCAAACACTCGGTTCCTGTCAGAGCCCTGCAGCAGCGGTGTGCATTCCCAGAGCAAAGCAGCAGGCTCCGCACGCCTGCGGGAACGGCGCGGGACCCAGCACGGCGTTGGCTCCGAGGGCTCGGTCCCACTGCACACAGCGCAGCCCCAGCTCTCAAAGCTCTTTTTCACCTTTTTGCCTTTTTTGCTTGACTTCGATTTTCTCCTCCCTCCCACTTTCCCCTATCGCTTTCAGTTGCCATTTGGGGAACTCCAGATCCAAGGCAACGGTATCTGGGATCGCTTTTGTTTTTTTCTGATAAGGAGCCGCCAAACCTGGAGCCTCTTGCCAAGGAGCCCTGCCTCCTGCGCTTGTAGCTCTATGCCTGAAAGCCTGTTCCTGAGGAACCGAGCTGGGAAAACTGCTGTGGTGCTACACGATCTGCGGTGTCTTCTGGCAGTGCCTGGGATGATTCTGAAGGCTAGCTACGAAACTCACGTCTGTCCTTGTGCTCTGCAGGGAATCACTGCAACGATGAGAGTAAGATGGCTGATGTTGCCTTTATCCTGTTAAATAAAACAAAGTAGCTCAATACCACATCGAAAAAGTGCTCCGAGTACAAGCCCAGTCTTGTTCTGACGTCTTGGAAATCTATTTTTCCTTCATTTAATTGACAAAAACTGTAGATCATAGAAGGAAGACAGTCCCTGCCAAAAATCAAACATCACTAGTTTTTCATAAGACAATGGGAATAACCCCTTAGAACATATGTAATTATGGCAATGAGTCATTCTGACGGCAGCACACAACCACATTCACTGGATTTCGACAAGGAAGAAGCCACAGAAAATTCAAAACGATTTCATTTCAGCAATGGTCGGGATAGTCACGTCAGTGAAGCCGAGGCCGTCCGGCAGATCCGATGGGCCTGGCACCTATCACCAGCCCCCCTGCACCGTCTGGTACGCGACATGGGCAACATCCCTCTGCAGCCAGTTGAAAAAGAATAGGGGAAAAAAGTTAAAAATGGAAACGGGAGGATGCATCAATAGCAAAGGAAAAGCTTGTGAGTCATATGGCAACGACAGATTCGTTTAGTAGAGTGAAATGTCTGCCTCGTATGCTGTCAGATGCACAAGTCCAGCAGCCACAGCCACGGAGACACTGCACGTTAGGTGCTGTTAGCCCCGGTAATGTAACGTTGGTCAGGGAAAACTCGAGGGAGGAGAGCATGGCTGAAAGGGTGGATTCACTCCAGTTTGAGTGCAGTTCCCGTATGTTACCAGCACCATCTTTTCTCATGACAGAAAACGCAGGGCTGTGGCCCACACCGATCTGGGCGACGGGGCTCACCGTAAGCAGGGCTGGGGAAAGCGGTGCCGAGACCTCCCCGGCAACGCCTTCAGCGTGGGAATCCAACAATTATCTCAGACGCGTTCCCAGTAAAGCTTCCCCACGACACAACCTCATGTCTAAAGCTGGCTATTTCTATTCTTTCACAGCAAGAGACAGCAATTCTCTGGATGCACTCCAAGATATCTTGCTAACAATAAAGAGAGTGTTTTCTTAAGGAGAAGGAAGAAAGAGTGGGGGAGAACAGAACAAGTATTACTCAACTATTTAGTCTAAAAATCCAAAAATCAAAAGGATCTTCTGACAGATGGATATCAACTCTAATAGAAAACACACTTGTCCTGGGAAAACTCTTCTGCATGAGCCCCAAGTCTGATAGCTTAAACAATTATCTACAAGTTGGAATTAATTCTCTATGCCCACATCAATGTGTGTTTTTTAAAAGCCCAAGGCACAGATAATTATATTAATAGAAAAAAAAAAACAGAAATCGTAGGCTTAACCAAAACAGAGTGAAAATCCGGGACCGCCACCCCAGAAAGCACCTCAGCAGCCTCCACGTGCCGGGCCCCGCTGCGCAGCAGGGACGGGGCTGGGCTGGAGGACCCAGAGGTCCCTCCCAGCCCGTGACGTTC